TCACGAAATCATAAATCCAGCAACGGATTCAAGCGTCCATTGCTTTCCCGGAGCCGTAATCGGTTTAAAATTCCACAAATTTATAGGCATAAACACATCAGAAAACCCAACTGATTACTACTCAATGCCAGATTTCCGACAATTCATCAGACAAACATATAAATTGAAAACAAAAAACGTTTTCGAAACACAGAATCCACCTGTATTGCTTTTAATTTCTCGCCAGAGAACAAGAAAGTTCCTAAATCAAGCGGAGATGGTGAAAATGATGGAAGAACTAGGGTTTCGAGTGATCATCGCTAGCAACGATAAGGAGATGTCGAACGTTGAGAAATTTTCGCGTGTGATAAACTCTTGTAGTGTTATGGTGGGGGCTCATGGAGCAGGGTTAGCTAACGAAATCTTTCTTCCTGATGGAGGTGTTATGATACAGGTTAGACCACTGGGGTTTCAGTATGGGACTGATGCTTTTTATAGCGAACCCGGTCCAGGGATGGGTTTGAGGTATTTGGAGTATTTGATTGAACCGGTGGAGAGCTCGTTGGCGGAGGTGTATGGTCTTGATCATCCGGTGGTGGCGGATACGGCGTCTGTGGCGGCGAAAGGAGGATACGCCGCCGCAAGGGATATATATTTGAATAAGCAGGATTTGAGAATAAATTTGAATAGATTTAGAGCAACTTTAGTTGAAGCTTTGGGGTTTATAGGACGTCATTCAGACGTTGCAAACGCTCGATGATTCTTAGAATTTGTAGTTCTTTTATTGTTTTTATTTTTGTGATTTTTTTGAATTTTATCGTACAAAAATAGATCAGGTGCCATCAAGTAAAATATTTGATTGGTGTAAATTAAACATTGCCTTGATGCAAACAAGTTGGAGTGAAATAAAAAAATTTGTGAGAATTTCATATATATATATATATATATATATATATATATATATATATATATATATATATATATATATATATATATATATATATATATATCGGGTTTATATTTTAAATATCATATTTATCTTTGCTAATGTTTTTAAAAAAATCAAATTTACCCAAATCTATTTTTTAAATAGTTTTTATTATTTAATAATCACTTTTTACAATTAAAAATCATTAAAATTGAAAAAAATAATAAAATAGACAATAATACCCTTATCTAGACCATAATAACCTTATCTATTCAAAAACGTAGGAATCTTTTCAGAAAATTAGGTTTCTGATCATCTTCATCAGACGGTTAAAACAACTTTTATTTTGTTGTCTATTGTTTTTGTTTGAGTTTTATCTCAACCAATTTCATGATTCTTCTAAAGGGTTTACTTCTATTTAAGAAGAATTGTTAATGAATTGTTTAGTTGTTAGTTTGCCACTGAGGAAGATGATCGTTCACAAGCTCTTAGCACATACATATCGGATGTTAAAAAAGTTGTTATACGGTTGATAATTTAATTTCTTTCCATACTTTGCTTCAAATACATTGCCTTGATTAGAAAGCTCTCATTTATGACATTTTAAAGATATCCAAAGAGTACAATATACTCTTCTTGACTTCCATCACATTAACAACTAACAATACTATTTTATTTTGTTTGATGTTTGAAATGAATAGATTATCGCGATTGTATACATATTACATGTGACATACCCAAGTTCACGGGTAGAAAAGACCAATTTGTTTTTGCTTTATTTGAAAATTAGTGTATACTTTTAAAGAAATATCTTTCGGATTTTGTTCCCAAAAATATGATAAAGAACTTATCAAAGCATTTACGAACAAATGTACTTTCATTATATTACAAACATTGAGATGTCATTGTCAATACAGATCAAAAGCATAAACAAAAACAACATAGACCTTACACCATTCTATTTATTTCTACTTGCCTATAATCCATAATCTCTCATCATATCATTGTATTTATGCTCTTGTGTCACTAACTATAATACAAGAAACAGAGTGGGTCAGGCTTGGGAGCCTGATGAGCACATAAGGTTTTCAGCCCACAATAAATAAGTTTATTATTTTCATCAAATCATTCAACCCGATTAGTCATTCACGTTATCCTCTAAAGCATCTATTATAAGGGACCTAGCCTAAGGATTTTTCATCGGGGTGGACAACATTGCTTAGGGGATTCCTTAGCAATACATGTCAAATAAGGCAACCAAGAGGGGGTGGAGTACACCTGGTGAACATGTGGTTCAAATAAACACCTGGTGAACATGTGGTCGTCATCTATACTCTGCTAGATGACTGGATCATCGTAAACATCGAGGCATCTCATCATTTTATTTCATCACATATCAACTATATCATCTATCCATGTTTTACCTAATATATTTATAGATATAAAATACATATACAGTTTAAATCATAAAAAAAATGTTTAAATCGATCATCCAGCATAGATCTCACGTAAACAGATAATATGCACACAAAACACGTAATTTATATGAAATACTTCATATCCATGTGTAAGATGAAAGTAACTATACACTCGCCTGATAAAGTGGTGATCCCAACTTGGACAGCGCTTCGCTTCTTAACAATATGATTTCCTTTAACAATATGATTTCCTGATAAAGTAACTATACACTCGCCTGATAAAGTGGTGATCCCAACTATATCATCTATCCATGCTAGAAACCGGGCTCTGCGGGAGCAGAACTTTTAGAACCAAAAAGCTCTTTTTCTTAGAACCTTCAGGTGCTCCGGGGCTTTCCTCTAGCATCTTGAGGTTACTAGGAATTTGTCTGCTGCTGCTCTGGAATTTGTCTGCTGCTGCTCCGGTTTCACCCCGGCTACAATTTCCATAAGAACACTCAATCAAATACTGATAACTATACTGAGGGTAAAATGACTATTTTACCCCTGGTCAAAGTCAACCTCTTGATGCAAGTCAACATACAGTTGACCTGATTCGTCAAGTTGGGCCACCAACTCGTCGAGTCCCTACTCCCATTTCTCAATTCTGCTCGCTACTACTCGTCGAGTATGGCATAGACTCGACGAGTTCCCCTTTGATACAAGCGCTTAGTCAAACTGCATCCGACTCGCCGAGTTGTATGAACAACTCGTTGAGTTCTTCTTCATCATATGAACACTCCAACTGGGACTCGCCGAGTTGTATTAACAACTCGCCGAGTCAATGCCCTGACTCGGCGAGTCCTTCCATGAATGAGTCCGATCTCCGACTCACTGAGTCCCCTTAAAACTCACTGGTTCCACTCGACATAATACATAGAAGGGGAAACCCAAGGACTCGTGACCCGACTCGCCGAGTCTGAAGAATGACTCGCCGAGTCGGTTGCATGCAACTTCTATACAATCGATTCTGCTCAAAACCACTGCATATAATTTATAGATATGGGTTCCTATAGCTTGTTCACCACGTAAACTTTCCAAATTTACGTGTACATATGCATGAAAAGGGATTTAAAGGCTCAAAAGACACTTAAAAGAGTAGATCTAGGGCTTTCATGCAAAATGGCTCCATAAAGGTGTTAGATCTACGTTTCTGGAACTGAAACATGGCTAGATCCGAAGGCTAATCAACCCAAAGTGATATCTCTACTATAATCAAGCTAAGAAATGGATAAAATGGCCTAAATGTGCTTATAATGGAGAATCAATCATAGAAGCAAAAGGAAATCCGATTATTACCTCAATAAACTCTGTAGTGGGTGCAAGATCTTGGATTTTCTTCTATTCCTTTGGATCTAGCCTCCTTATTCTCTTCAAAACTTCAAGATTCACACAAGAAATGCTCAAATGCTCAAGGAATGGTTAGGGTTTGCTAAATGATGCTCTGAGGGTGAAGGATGCGAGTTTGGGGCTCATAACATGGTTTAAATAGGGTGCAAACCCTTAAAGTTAGGGTTTCATCCAGACAAGCGGACTCGCCGAGTTTCCAACTTAAACGTGCTCACAAACGCGGGTCTACTCGGCGAGTCGGGCCTACAACTCGTCGAGTGCAGCTAAAATGCCAAAAATACATAGATCAAAATACATACCAGGAGCCAGGTGTTACACTTTACCCATTCGTTATGCTCCATGGATTATCCATGGGTCACCCCATGGACTTAGTCCAACATAAGGAATCTTGGATCACAAGCCCACATATATAAGAATGAATGATTTACACAATCAACCCATATATTTAATTAGTCTCCTTTTGATCACTTAATTAATTCCAAATTAATTCTTGATCAATACTAATTAAATAACCTTATTAATATATTAGAACTTATAATATATTAACCAACCTTAAGTGTTATTTCTCTCATTATAGTCTATCCAAATGCATGATGCCATGCAACCCAAATGGACCATGCCGGGTCGGGTCAAGTCTTACCAATTATAGTTATGGACTTAGACATTAATCCAACAGATGGTTCATGGATGGTACATTATTCTTTGTTCTTCTTCACGTCACTGCATCAAATAAGAATCTGAATAAATTTTTACGCCATTTCCATCTGGATTCTCTTTCTCCCTAGAGTATCTGATCCTATTTCTTTGATTTTGACAATCCACAGTTTTCAATCATATTAACCCTAGCGGAAGCAAAATTAAAGATGAAGGTGTTGTCAATTACATAAAAAAGGTACACATCTTTTCTACTTCTACCCCTTCTAAAGCCTATCTTGGAACAAAGCTCACTATGTAATGTTTCTTTCATTACAGGTGCTTGAAAGTGATGCTTTTTATGTCCCTTCATTAACTGGTTCAGTTGGTTAAAGCCTTCCGAAGATTACACAGTAATAGAACTAGCTGGAATAGACAGACCTGGACTATTATCAAAAGTATCTGCAGTTCTCACAAATCTTGGATGTAATGTAGTCAATGTTGAAATATGGACTCAATACAAGAGTCGTAGCTGTTGTACATGTCACAGATGAGAAAACAAGAAGTGTAGTTAAGATCATAAAAGACTCTCAACTATTAAGAAACTGTTGTGTAATGTTCTTAAGGGGAACAATAACTTGAACACTGGTAAAATGACGCTTTCGAACCCGGGGTTTACGCATAGGGAGAGACGATTGCATCAGATTATGTTTGCTGAGAGGGATTATGAGAATGTTGGAAGGGTAGAACATGAAGAAAAGGAGAATAGATGGAGGCCACAGGTTAGTGTGTTGGATTGTGCTGAGAAGGATTACACGATTATTACTATGAGGTTTAGGGATCGACCAAAGCTTTTGTTTAATATAATCTGGACTTTGACTGATAAGCAATATGTTGTGTTTCATGGAGTAGTTCACACAAGGAAAATGGAGGCATATCAGGTGTTTTAGTTTTTTGTTTGGTTTCATTTGTTCTTTATGAATTGTGAGCATAATACATGATTAGATGAGCCAAAAGTTTACAATAAGGTTAAATTCAAGAAATAGCAACGTACTTTTATTTATTTATTTTATTATGTTAGCATATACTAATTTCATTTCTTTCTATAGCACAAAACAATTTTGACTAGCATAATTGGGTGGATTTTTCAAAGTTAAAAAAGGTTTAATCTCATAAAAGACCTTACATTTTACCTGTGGATACGGGGAGGTATTTTTCAACACATAATGGTTTTATCTATAAAAAAAAACAAGCCAATTTAATATGAGGTGATGGGCAAATATGTAAATTTGTAGGTGAAATGTGCACAAATTCTGGTGGAAGCAGGAGCTAAAGTGGATGCATTAGATAAAAACAAGAACATTGCCCTCCATTACGTAGCTAGTTATGGAAGAAAAGAATGTGTATCCCTCTTGCTAGATAACGGTGCAGCCATGTAAGTTTAGTTTTTATATAATCAATTATTTTTAAATATTTTTTATTTTAATTTTGATTTTTCTTTATTATTATTATTATTATTATTATTATTATTATTATTATTATTACGATATATAGTACTCTGCAAAACATGGATGGGAAAGCACCTATTAATGTGGCAAAACTCAACAACCAGAAGAATGTATTGAAGTTTCCTGAGAAGGATGCTTTCCTATAGAAGCCAACCCATTGTTTAGTGCAAATACTGTAATTTCTGTTTTGAGCTTTTCACCTGATGGAGAGGTACAACCATTCATTCTATTTTCATACATGATGAAACAGAAACACTAGAAGTTTTTCAGTTATTTTTTTAAAAACATATGGCAGGGGTTGATAGCTTTCTCTGAGCATGGTTTAATGATAAGATGGTGGTCATTGGGATCCATGTGATTAGAATTTCCCTGGTGCTCCAACGTTTTTGCTAAATAAACCCAGGGCTATTTGGTCATTAAAACAATGTTAAATTTTTATGGTGTCTAATCTGCAATTTCTAGTGGGCTTGGAGTTCCTGCTGTTGGCATGGCGTTCCTTGGCTAGAATAGGGAATTCATAAATGACATGGTATTTTAAATATATATAAATAAATAAATATTTAAGATAATAATAGTTAGGTGAGTAAATGGATAAAATTGTGAAATTTTGTTGTAGGCTACCTATTTTGGCTGGTGCTGCTAGGGCTTTAGGTGTTGTTGGGGCTTTATGTAACACCCCCCTCTGGCACGTATCACAATATTGTCCGCTTTGGGCCACTCGGCACGAGGACTTCCCAGGGGGTCACCCATCCTGGTACTACTCCCGCCTGAGCACACTTAACTGCAGAGTTCTTATGGGATCTGCTGCCCTCACGGCTTTAAAACGCGTTGTGATAGAGAAGGTATCAACACCCCTTATAAGGAATGCTTAGTTCTCCTTCCCAGCCGATGTGGGATCAGATCTAAGCCACTTTCACCCCCCCATTATAGGGTTCGACGTCCCCGTCGAACACATCGACCCGTGCCCTAGCTCTGATACCATTTGTAACACCCCCATCTGGCACGTATCACAATATTGTCCGCTTTGGGCCACTCGGCACGAGGATTTCCCAGGGGGTCACCCATCCCGGTACTACTCCCGCCCGAGCACGCTTAACTGCAGAGTTCTTATGGGATCTGCTGCCCTCACGGCTTTAAAACGCGTTGTAATAGGGAAGGTATCCACATCCCTTATAAGGAATGCTTAGTTCTCCTTCCCAGCCGATGTGGGATCAGATCTAAGCCACTTTCACCCCCCATTATAGGGTTCGACGTCCCCGTCGAACACATCGACCCGTGCCCTAGCTCTGATACCATTTGTAACACCCCCCTCTGGCACGTATCACAATATTGTCCGCTTTGGACCACTCGGCACGAGGACTTCCCAGGGGGTCACCCAACCCGGTACTACTCCCGCCCGAGCATGCTTAACTGCAGAGTTCTTATGGGATCTGCTGCCCTCACGGCTTTAAAACGTGTTGTAATAGGGAAGGTATCCACACCCCTTATAAGGAATGCTTAGTTCTCCTTCCCAGCTGATGTGGGATCAGATCTAACCCACCTAGCTCTGATACCAACTTGTAACGACCCAAATTTTACGTCCGAAAATTTCATTTTAAAATATTACTTTAGAAAACATTAATAAATAAAGACATTGTTTGATCACACCATAACACATCGTAACCATGTTCTAAAAGGTCAAACCATACATCCCATCAAAATATCAGAGTACAATCCCAGTAAATCTCGTAAATGCGGAAACCGAAGAGTGTGTGTATGACGTGCCTCTACCGCGCCGGCTCCTTCCCCTTCGATGCAGAGGTACCTGAAAACAAAACTGTAAACGTAAGCACATCGGCTTGGAAGGAGAACGAAACATTCCTTATAAGGGGTGTGGATACCTTCCCTATCACAACGCGTTTTAAAGCCGTGAGGGCAGCAGATCCCATAAGAACTCTGCAGTTAAGCGTGCTCGGGCGGGAGTAGTACCGGGATGGGTGACCCCCTGGGAAGTCCTCGTGTCGAGTGGCCCAAAGCGGACAATATTGTGATACGTGCCAGAGGGGGATGTTACAAATGGTATCAGAGCTGGGGCACGGGTCGATGTGTTCGACAGGGACGTCGAACCCTATAATGGGGGGTGAAGGTGGGTTGCACCTGATCCCACATCGGCTGGGAAGGAGAACTAAGCATTCCTTATAAGGGGTGTGGATACCTTCCCTATCACAACGCGTTTTAAAGCCGTGAGGGCAGCAGATCCCATAAGAACTCTGCAGTTAAGCGTGCTCGGGCGGGAGTAGTACCGGGATGGGTGACCCCCTGGGAAGTCCTCGTGCCGAGTGGCCCAAAGCGTACAATATTGTGATACGTGCCAGAGGGGGATGTTACACTTTAAGTGCTGCAGAAGCTTTAAGGGCAACATATTTTTCACCTTATATCACAATGGATGGTGCTTATCATGCTAGGCCATCTGGCCAGACCTCTACATTGCCTCCTACAAGGTCTATTACTTGTTATTATGATTTACAATTATGAGGGTATTTAGGTCATTTACTCAGAAAAAAGATATTTCTTCTTCGGTTTCATTGCAACAAAGATAGTAGTACAAATAAACCTGGTAATGAAGTGAAGTCTTCTCAGAGACCTGGTAACACAAGATTACAAAGAAGTTCCTCAAATCAAATGCAACCACCAAGTCCCTCACACCTCCTGTTGCCCCTCTAACTATCCAGACCTCTACATTGCCTCCTACAAGGTCTATTACTTGTTATTATGATTTACAATTATGAGGGTATTTAGGTCATTTACTCAGAAAAAAGATATTTCTTCTTTGGTTTCATTGCAGCAAAGATAGTATTACAAATAAACCTGGTAATGAAGTGAAGTCTTCTCAGAGACCTGGTAACACAAGATTACAAAGAAGTTCCTCAAATCAAATGCAACCACCAAGTCCCTCACACCTCCTGTTGCCCCTCTAACTATCCAGACTGCTCAAGTATCCAATGTACCAACAAAGGGCAGTTATTGGGACTTTGATAGTTCAACAAATGGCAGTTATTAGGACTTTGACTAGACTTTTCAATGAGACATCGGAAGCATTAGGAGGAGCGAATGCGGTTCCAACAAAGCCCAATGGTGAATTTGCTAATGCCCTCAAGATTCAGGTAATCTTTTCTGATTCCATTCCAATCAACATCATAGGACTTAAGGGGTTAAAAATTAACTTTTTTTAAATAGGTGAATCTTACGACTAGTGATTGGGATGAGTGTAGCTTCTGACTAGCAACACTGCAGTGGATAAATGGAAATGGAGTTTATACACAGGAAGTTTCATGTGCTTACAAGTTCTCTGATGTTTGCATTCACATGACTAGCTATTTCTGGGACAATCGTCCTTCGGAAGACGATTTTCAATCTCTTCCATTCTCTAGTGTCGGTTGCTTGGTTAGTATCTTTTGGAAGTTTCATGTCATCTGGCGTCACATTTTTGTTATTGATTCTGTTTTTCACGGGGTTTTTGGACCAGATGTCATCCTGGGGAAAGCTTCTACCAATTGCAGGCTCTTTCGATTGCTGGCAACCTCATGTATGTATCTTCTTTTACATGGTAGTTCCCTGTCTTTCCCTCCCCAGCTTTCGCGGTTTCTTGGTTTTGTTTTCTATCAGGTTTCTTCTTCATACCTTGTGTCTTCTCTTCGCGAAGGCGCATGGGCATGATTAGTGGTAGCCAGCCCTTCATGGTGTTCATACTAGCAATATGCGATGTATCTGGTGTGGTAATATTTTTGCTACCGCACCCATCCCCCCAATGCTACATGCCCGAGGTTTGCGATCGTTCTTCTTTGTAACGCCCGTAGATCCGGGCTAGTCAATTTGGAGATAATATGGGTTGAAAATCACTTTTCGACAAAAGATTATTTACAATAAATAATCTTAACCAAGTTGTAGAATATGTCTCAAGGGTTCCGTACATATAAAGAGCGCCGAAATCCGAGTTATAACGAAGAAATTATGACCCGTCGAAGTTTCGCGACGGAACCGGCACGACACCGGGGAGACGTAAATAGTGAATTCATAATAGAGCGAAATTTAGCCTTAGTGATCTAAATGAAATTCATAGAATATGTTAACCTGAAAGCGTCCATAAAAAGAACGCCCAAATCTGACTTCGTATGAGGAAGTTATGATTTTTCTAAGATTTGGCTTAGCAGTGCACGACCTGAAACTTGAATTTTAGTTCGAGCGGTTTTTGGCTTATGCGACCTAAATGAGAGTTGAAGATCTCATTAATAGGAACTAAACAGTAAAAGGATAGACGAAAACGGAGTCTGTATGAAGGAGTTACGAATTTTTCACGGTCATTTAACAGTCTAATCTTCTCGTACTGTTAAATTTAAGATCGGTCGAGAATTATCCGACGGAGTCAAAATGAAAGTTGTAGATATTATTTTTACCTACGCGTGGATATAAAGAACATAAAAAATGGAGCTCGTATGTTAATGTTACGGATTTTAGAAGTCGGAAGTGTGTTGTGCCAAAATGGGTGGCGTGGCACAATCTTGGCCATTACTTTCTCCCCAACTCTTGCCACCAAATGGTGACATGTGGCACCAAGTTCAACCATATTTCACCCTATAAATAGAACCTCTTCCACCCTCATTTTCTTCACACCTTTCCCATTCTTTATTCTCTTTACTCTCTCTCTCTCTCTCTAGAACCTCTCTCTAGCCCCGAAACCCCCCGAAAAGTCTAGAGAACCTCCCTAACACGAGGCGGAAGCCCCAGAGTGCTTGACGGCTTCGAGAAGAAGAACTTTTCATCTCGACAACGCTGCTCCAAGCAAAGCCCGATTTTCTATTAAACCCGCTGTAAGTGAGCTAGGCCTATACTATTTTTAATATAGCTTTTATTTAATTATAGTAACGTGATTAGGAACTTATAATAAGTACTTGAGCTATTATTATGGGTTATATAAGTATTGTTTAACGCTTATATAATAGTAGTAATAGCTAAACGATTAATTAGTCTCGGCGAATAATAGATCAAACTCTAGTGATAATAATACTAGGTTTCGTCGAAGGAAATTATTTTTAAGAAGCGAAGCACTGTCTAAGTTCGGAATCGCCACATTTTCAAGTGAGTGCGTAGTTATTTTCATCTTACACAT